TTCCTTCGTACATAACTTAAAATCAGTTTAACTTAAAAAATCTTTTCCGTGTTACATCGTCACATGAAAGGAAAAACATACATTTGTTTTTCTCTCTTTTCAAACAGATCTCTTTGACGTCTGAGTAATGCATGGGTTTCCTAATGCTTTCCTAATGCTTATCGAAAAAACACTGAGGCAAAAGAATCACACAAATTTCTGGCCTCGAAAACGATCTCAGTCTCTTGAGAGGTTTAAACAGTGGTCGATTAATACATGAAAGAAACAGAATTCAACTGAATTTAAGTGGTTCATATTTATGACGTGTTTTCAAATATGCCTTTTTGAATTATGGTCTGCACACATAACCTACCCAAATAGAATAGCAACCACAATCTCTCTTAGACTGTTTTGCATTCTCAAAAGTGTTTCTTAACTTGAAAAATTATGGCCGTGTGGAAACCAAGAAGGACTCGATCCGTATCTTATACACGACACTTCAAAAACAACCGAGATAAACTTTGCAAAACACAGCCGACCTTCAAATTAGCCTCAAATTAAATCCGTTATTGCTTTCACGATTTCACGCATCGATGCCCCTTCATGGTTTGTTTGTGCTTCGAAAAGTTCTTCTATCCTTCGTTTAAAAAAGTTGTTGCGTTAAAATGGAATCGGATATCGTTTTATCTTAGACAATTCTGTGACTAGTAAACAAGGGCTGAAATTCTCTACAATTACGTGATCTGGGGTACCAGTTGAACTAAGACAAATACACTCACCCTGTGTTGAACGCAATTATTAATAGCACTTATTTTTCTAAACGGCTTACACTGATATTAAATTCCCAGACAGACTTAGGAAAGTTAAGACGATTGGTTATCCGAAAGCATAACGCTAAACGTTGTTTAGGCTACGCAAATGATGTTAGAAGGCCTTCTAAAATTAAACTGTTTATCTGCAACGAGGTAGTCATAACAGATTTTTGAAGAAAGACTTGGTTTTCGTTTTTCCAATACAAACAAACAAATAATGATAAAAAAAAATATGTTTAATACCTCAATCTGCTTTAAAAACACAACATCGATATTAGAAATTTACTGGCTGTTTTTTCCTACTTTTTAATTTTTTTCTCGCAGTTTTTCGCCTTTTTTCATTAATGAACGACAAAGTATTGAGTTCTACGCTTTTCTAATGAGCCCCAGCGAAGTCCGCCCTTTCTGTTAACCGAGGGCTTTCGACACGGAAAAGAGGCATTCCAAGAATGGTAGCCGTGTCGCCAAGTCGCCGCATACTTTTAACGCAAGTACAATGTCCAAAAAAAAAAAATTATGTCGCTATCGTTTTTTTAAGTGTGTTTATTTGCAAAGTCACAGTAAATTTTTCGTGTAATCTTCTAGACTTTCATTTTACTTCTTTCAAAGTGAGTTATTTGGCATTATCCTTCTCGTATTGAAATACACACCGTTTAAAAATTCATTTTAAATTCAGTTACTTATGAAGTTCCGACAACTCTCTTCTACTATTTAAAGAAAAACCCTGAGATTGTAGCATCTACAGACTTAAAAAGACTTCTGTACTATTCGGAAACTTCACGCGTCTCTGTCTTTTCTAATTTGGCTCCGAAAGAGAATTCTAACGAGGATGGCTATTGATGGAAAAGATTATTAAACAAGGATTGTACGTGAGTTCAAAATATTAGTTTGGTAGGATATGAAAACAATTAAGAGACAATAATAACCCACGAAGGACAAAGGATGACTTGGGATGGAGAAGATTAAGACGAATTGTGAATGAAAACCACGACGAATTTCGGGTAACGTTTCCCAGGATGCACGAAATTAGCAGTAGACCTTCGACTTTTCGAGACTTAGGGAGTTTCGTATGCGATGAATTGAAAACTTCACTTGGGAACTGAGATGTACTAAGGCCTTTTAAAACTGTCCATTGCCTTCAACCGGTTGTTTTCTCGCTCGTAAAACACTCATTTAAGACCCTGTTTTCGAAGGGAATGCCCAGCGAAACGATCATTCGCTTGACACCCATCCATGTTTACTACACCAAAACACACCTTTCCTTATTTCATCCCAACAACCACCTCCCTCAAATGTACCATTCCTGAAAACAAGCTTAGACTTCCTGTCTCCGTTCACGACAATCACAAGTGTTTTGGGTTTCTCAAGTGGTTCTTGACTTGAGAGAATTCATTCAGCTCCCACGCCCTCTCTTATACCATGACGCTTCTGTCTCGTCGATCGTACGTGAGCTTTGAGGTAGTTGGAGCGTCTGTAACTCATGACAAACATACCGAATCGATAATAGTTTTCTAAAATGGATGTATTTAAGAGTGTCTATATTCCTGCTGGAATTTTGGTAGCTTAGTTTGATTTTTAAATCTCCAGTCAACAAACTATAACATTGGCTAAACTGTCTTAGACCTGAACAAATCCCTTGGTTACCTTGTCAAGCCAGTCATGATAAATATCTCACTTATTCTTTCATTCGCACTTAGCAAAACCACCCACTACTTACAAATACCGATAGCTATTCGCAGAACCTAGTATTGTAAGTCTATAAATCGAACGTGTGGGTGAAAACTTCAGACATAGTTCAGTGAGAGCAAAGATTCGTCTAAGGTATATCATGCAGTTACGTAAAGCCCAAGACATTACTTTGAAGTTGTTCGTGGGGAACAGAACACCCTGTGGTCCAGTTTTTTTAATTGTACATGAGGTGAAAAATTTCGTAAGGCAAAATTATCCTCCTGCTCAGATTAAGTAGAAAGCTTAAGCTTGCAACTAATCCACGGGGTGACTATGAGAAAGTCAATGAATACCAGATTACGCAAGGGCGTCTGTGTTAAAATTGGCAACAACACTGACAACTTATATTAATTTTACAGGCAATATAAACAATGTATGATTGCAAAAGTCAATCGGCAATCCTTCTAAAACATTCAACAAACCCGGCCCTATACTCTAAAAGAAATGAGTTTCGCAAGGTTTTTCATATGTGTTGTAATATTTACATGTTAGCCTACACTGTTTTGAAATGAGCGAAGGATGGCAAAATTACTCTTTAAAGCACGAATCGTTACCTTACGCGCTTATATCTAACACAATTTCTGGTGCGTTCTTCGCAAAATTTTCCAGAGCTTTTAGATTTTGCCAGCAAATAACATGTTTCTCGAGAAAAAAAAACTTATATCAGAAATTAGGAAGATCGTTTCTTCAGACAGAAACATCTATGAAAGAACTTTGTAGGCGGACTAAGAACTGATGAAATCTTTTTTTTCCGCCTCACTTAAGATCCCGAAATAAGCTTGATATTTTGATCGATTTTGTATTTTTGTCAGCATAAAAACATCTTCTGTGCTCTCAAGAAAATCAGGTCAAATTGAATTAGGAAACCAAGTTTTTAAAGTGGATTTTAAATAGCACTTCTGCGAAGAGGGAACCTTGGAGGTCTCAAAGACAAAATTCTTTACGCCTTACTAAAGATACCAGAAATAAAGTTGCGTTGACTGCGTGCGACTACTTAGATGTGAAGGAGGCCAATACGGTACTAGGGATTCCATAGTAATTTCCAGCTGTTGATGTATTACAATGGAATGCTCTATACTTCAGTTTACTTATCACGAATAGTGAGTCACATCTGAACCCTTTCTGCGGCATCAAATCGTCGAAAAAAGGCTCAACCGGAAAACGTTTTCAATGAAAACTGACTGCGCCCAAAGCACAAGCTTTGTACAATGACAAGAAGACCTAGAAGTAATTTAGTGACCTTAATGCGCCCACAAAAACTATATTTAAGCGTATTTGGACCACTGGAATAGTATTGCTATCATACTTCCTCAAACAGCGCTCGAAAACAGACGTCATACTTTACATAACTTACGTCAGTAGCCAGCCAAGTAGTTGGAAGGCGTGATAATGAAGCATGAAAATTTTATAATAACCAAACATAACAAAAAACAACATAACGGCTCCAAGAGTGATAGAAAAAACTCTCTCAAATAGAAGTGCATAATTATATCCGTGGGGTAAACCGACGAGGTGCGATACGGTCCGAAATGTAAAATGTCCGGTGGGGGATGATTTGATGGTAGCCCTTTTTTCTTGCATTCTTACTATTACTGAGCTCAACGATGTCTGTCTTCATACCAGGGTTTTTATGAGCCATGACTCTTTTCCATACTCTTCCTAACAAATAAAATATCGTCTGTTACGTCAAAGTTTTAAACCCAGGTCTTGCAATTTGTAACATAGGGGATTGTTACAACGTGGGTAAAGTCTCTGTTCCATGCATACATATCAGTACTACAACTGTATTGACTTAATGATGCCTTCAGCTATAACCCCTATAAGCTCTGAAGGGGGATACTTGCCTGATTTTATCCTGGTTTGCTCACAACCTTTGCCTTGGGAAAGAATAAATTAACCTCATATTGATCGAAACGCGTAATTTCCAACCACAAAAAAAAAATTTTAAAAAATAGCAACACGTTTGCGTATAACTGTATTGTCCCAGGTCAAGTTCGTGGGAAAAAAGGAAATGAGAACTTTATCCGCAATTTACTGAAACAAACAATGAAAACGTTTTCATTTTAAAATAAGTGTTTTTTTGTCCGTGCGGCTTAAAAAAACATTTCATTTACAGTTTCTGCACAAGTCATGATGACTGATCATTACGGAGACGGATGCATTCGCTTGAGAGATTTTCTTTTACGATGATTTCGAAAGGATTCTTTTATAGAAAAAAAACTAAACAATTTCAGAGTAATATAATACAAAATTTTGCTACAAATCTGTCAGAGACGGGCTGGTATTCAATTCAAGATTGCGGCCCTTTTTAAGTCAAGAGTATGAAATTTGTCGGTATTATCTTTCGGCGCCCTTACCTGAAATCTGGAAACAAATTATTTCTAGTATGTTTGTAATCCGTTTTAACGCCTGAGACTTCACCGTTTTTTTTTGTTTTGTTTTGTTTTTTTTTTTTGAGCAATTACATTCATTAGTGCCGGGTATTACAGAGACTAAGTAAAGGCAATAACAGTTTGAAATCAACAGTACATAGAAGTAAGTTCACGGCTCCATTTCCGCCACCTCTTTGCTTTTCTCTAACACATTTTAGAGCGACTAATGTTTTGTCTTCTGGCGCCACATCGAAGCTAATATATCATAACATTAATTTCGAGTTAATTGCAGGTTTTCTTCTTGTGTTAGATTAAGTTAAGTTATTGTCAAAAGAACTTCAAAGGCATGTTTTAAACTCGAATATGAATTGTTAGCTGGGTGGAACTATGTAAACGAAAACTTGTTGAAGAGAGACAAAGATTTTTTGCGTTTCAATTTACCGAAGGTGGCTCAATACACAATTGACAATCCAAAAAATCTATTCATTGCCGCGTTTGTGGCGCCAACAGTCTTAAGCTTTGCTGGAACGAATCGATATTCCAGCTCAATAAATCACGCCTTCTCGCTTGGAGCCGACTGCTGACTAAAACAGGTTTCATAAACAAAGCAAAGGTGACTTAATTGTCTAATTTGGACAGTGGTTTTTGTCGGCAGAGGCATACGTGGAGACAATATATATCACGGGTGAGCGAGAACAGTTTATATTCAAACAAGTGCTCTACTTCGACACTTGTGTCAGAAATTTCAAGGCTTGTTTTCTTCCCGCAAAGGAATCGTCATTGTATTACTGACGGGGTAAGCTGAGAAAGATTTCAACTATTAACTCTTCCCTTTCGAAAGAAATTCGAAGTTTTCATTACAACCAGACAGGTTAACACTTCAGCTTAATTTACGATTGCTTCAAATGATTATCTTTAAGAACTCGCTTTTCTATCTTTCAGATAAACGTCACGAAGAAAAGTCATCGTTTAAGAGTTGATTCAGAAAGGTAATTGACGCAGTCTGCGAGCCCTTCTTTTTTTAGTACAATTGTGCATTATAACTGACTGCTAGAAGTTTTTGTTCCTTCCGCTCTTCTCGTAAACCACGAGTGTTCAACGTGGACCAAACAAACCAAACCTAACCATAAACAAATAACATTTTAATAGCTACAGTAGCAGAGGCGTGTGGCCGACCAAGATTATGCATGTCGAAAGCGAAGTCAGTTTTATTTACTGTTGTAAACAAAGTTTCCTTCATTGTTCCGAATATACACGACTATGTCATAGTAGGCAGATTATTTTGGTCATGGATTTTCCTCATGGATTAAAACGAAAGATATATTCTTTAAATTCTAATTGTGCATTTTAAGTGATTGTAGAAAGTACAGCAATATAACGCGAAATCACGAACGTTCTATTAGTAGAAACGCTAGTAGCAATACAAGTTAAATATAACATGAATTTGATTGAGCCTCAAAAGTGATTGACGTCTTCATTTTTTTTTCCTCATCAGATGGTAGTCAAAAGACTTGTCAACTTCAATTATTTCTGTTTGGTTACCCTCTTGATTTTGACGGATCTGTCGTTGCTGTTTTCATCTCCAGTTCCGTTTATGGAACTCCTTAACGGCAAAACAAGCGCACTTCCTAGAGAAGATAAAGGAGAACTTCCCTCTAGAGATCCAATTAGCTTGCTCGGGAACCAAGTCCTCCCGCAACGAAAAGTCGACGAGACCCCGACGCTTGATACAACGAAAAGCTTGTCAGCTGTTCAGAATAACTTATTCAACTTAAAGTCCACGAAACTGCAAAGGAACACCAACCTATCAACAGCAAGAAGACGTCAACAGTTGGAGCTCATGCAGTTGAGAGTTTCGCGTCCATCTTCCCCAAGCGACCTCAATTTAAAATCTGCAACCAAACAGCAAGCAAGAGGTGGTCTTCCTTTGCAGAGTTCATCGTCTAGTACGCAGAAGGAGCCATGGGAACGTCTCCCAATTAGGCCCAAGAAAGCAACGGAGGGGAAGAACGGAAATAATCCGGAAATAAGCGTCCAATTTAGCGGGAGCGGGGCCACAGAAGACTCAGTTGGAAAAAGGCCAGCGACCAGAAGGCCGGTGATATCAAACAGCAACAAAATGCCTATATCCAGTGGAGTTCCCCAAGTAAAATTAGGCAAGTTGAATATAAAAAGCACTTGGTGCGTGATACATCCCTTCATAGACAGAGTGCATCATCGCGGCTGCCAGAGTGCAGAAATCAACAACAGCATGTGCTATGGACAATGCTATTCGTTTTTCGTCCCAAAGAAATTTGTTTCCTGTTCATGTTGCGCGCCCTCCTCACAGGAGACAATCAAAGTGCGACTGGAATGCCCCGGACAAAATCCCTCCTTTGTGATAAAGAAGGTTAAAATTGTGAAGGAATGTGCTTGCAAAGACTGTGGATTGTTAAAGCAGTAGAGAACTGTTAATCCACATCAAAAGTCGTTCCAACGAATGAAGAGAACACTTCATAACAGCTTTCCAGCCAGTTGACCGCTGTCGATCTTACCAAAAAAAGATACAAAAAGGAAAGATTTCCCAACAGTAATACGCTACAAGAAGACATATGCTGAGTCGGCGGAGCGCAGTACACCAAGGAAAAATAAGTTAATTTTAATAAAGTTTTCAACAATGTAAAATACTATTCGTTACCTTATCGACGTAAACAAGATTTGTTAGCGACAAAGAACAGTAATGTATATTTACGAAAGGCAAAAGCTGCCATATTTAAACATGGAGATAAGTATCAAGCAAAACTTGATTTGTATCTGTATATGAGCGACATGATTCGTAGTTTTGAGAAAACAACTAATTTACTTGTATAAAAATTGTTATAAATATATTATTCAGTTTGGAATGGAGATTAAATAGAGTAATATCGATACCCCTGATGTCGGGATGTCAGAACTTTTGGTTTACAACGAGAATTGAAGGGAATTGGAGAGAATTGTTGCACATTTCTAACATAAGACCATGGACGTTGTTCAGAAAAAAAAAATTTAGTGAAAGCTGGGCATGAAACATTTCCCGTAAGAGTGCAAACTTGACAGTTTAAGAGCGTTAAATGCTTGAGAAATATAGAGATTGGAGAGCCGTGTAATCATATTAAATTACAGCGTCTCAAACTTAATTGTCTGGCTTCATGTTTACAGCAGGTTAGGCTCTTTGTGGGCAACTACTCGACGAAACAATAGTGTAATTACATGATAAATGTTTTTTGAAGAATAAAGCGAAACAATGGATAAAAAGGATAATGACAATGAATAATTTCAAACACATTCTTCTTTCTCTTAAACCCTTTTTGAGTCCTATAGTCGCCAAAGGATTCAACGCTTGCACAGTCACAAAAGCGCGTCATTTTCTAATTCAGCGACTCCTTTGAGAGATGTAAACAACGTCAAATTAAATCCGCAAAGCTTAGAATCATTTCAGGTGAAACTACACAGAGCCTGAATATTGCTGGAGAATCTCTTTCGAAATTCTTGATCAACTTAACTCGCGTTGCGTCCAGTATACTGGAAGCATCTGAAATAAATCTTCAAAAACCATATCACAGTTACACAAGAAGCATCCGCTATTCAGCTAATTTAAGCCTAGAAAGCTAAGCCTATTGTGAAGGAAAACCAAAGTAAGCAGCATTTTTTACCTTTTGTCTTTGCCGCTATAAAATAGTTGTGAGGTTCCATGAAGTCTAAACGCCCTCTTTACGCCATTATTACAAGAAAGCCCTCTTTTGAAAGCAATGAGGGCGATATCACCTTATTAACACACTTGTGGCGCCGTCCTGTAGCACTTTTGTATAAGATTTGAATTATCACTTTATCAGGCACGCGAATGCCGGATTGCTAACAAACAAGCCAACACGACAACAAGTATGGAGCCATAAAGCGGACGCCGCACGGAATGGAAATTAGCTGATCGTTACACCGTGTGTTTATTGTCATACAAGTTCTACTGCTTTTTCAAAGAACGCGGGCGCATTTTTCAGGCTTTGCACCACGCTAGGAAGCAAATCTCGTCGCGAAATGATCCTAAAATGGTCCAAGAGTTTTGTTTAACAAATTGGCCATGCGGCGCCTTTCAGGTAAACAAATATAGTTTATGAACTCCGCCTATCCTACCCTCTCTCAATTACCACTTCTTTTAGGGTCATGGCGCATGAACAAGTTGTTACGACAATTCGCCATAGTTGACATTCCAGGAGAAGCTTTTTGCGAAATATTTTTCCATGCGCAATAATTTTTTCCCCGAAAGAAGTCGAACAAATGCAAATTGGTTTCGATTAGAGCGTGATAAGACATCGATAAAATGCATATGGCTCTTGACGATTTTTTTTACAAGCAGCACACTTGAGGCCGTTTTATAACCCTTTAACCTCCAAGATCTAATTGTTAATTCTCCTATCTGGCTGCCAAAAATAATCCAAAGTGAAAACAAAAAAAAACTTCTTGAGGCGCGGGAAACGCGGGTGATCAGGTTTCGATTGATTCACAGTTGGGTTTTGCACTTGATTAGTTGAGAGAATTGTGCGTATTATTTTGGACCAGTCACAGAGCGATGAAAAGTAAAAGCAAAACCAAAGTAATTGGCATCACTTTCGACTTTGATCTCTCTAAATTATTTGACCTATCGAGCAAAAAAAAAAAAAACACACCGTTCTCCCTTATTTTAAGCACGACTGATTAAAGTTGAGCAATGCTTTAATTTTGTTGAATTTTAAAGAATTCCAAGCTATTCTAAGCGGTAATATAGAGGTAACAAGGGTGGCAAGTTTTGCCTGTCACCGCCTGAAAAGGTGAACACCAGGAATAGGCTTAGTATCAGACTTTAAACTTACAATAACATATCGTTTCAATGAAGTTCCCTTGTTCAAAGGCAAAAGGCAGAGAAGACCAATCTTTAGCCCTACTTCTCAAATCAATTCCTATAAAAACTGAGTTCATACACTTGGCCTTATTTGAAATATGGAAGTTATTTCAGATGGG